GAAACATTTAAAAAATAGATCCTTGGCTTTGCTTCCAACCTACTAAATCAGAATCTCTGTGTTTAGAGTCCATTGATTTTTATTTAAAAAGGAAAAGCAAAACTTCAGTCTTCTGATTTACAGCTAGCTAGGGACCCACTACCCTAAAAAACATTGGGTTTTTGAGAGAGATTAATAATCCACAGCCCTCCATTTGGTCTAAACGAGATGGGAGGGGGCGGCGTGCCCCTGGGATACAAAGAACGCCTAGCTGGTATCAGGCATATCTCTGGAACTCATCCTGCCAAGTTCGTACAGATGGGAAGCCTCCAGTCCTTTTTTAGGAGGTTTCAGAAATGCGTGCTACCAGATTATAGTTTGCTGACTACGTCGGCTTTCCTTGGTTTTGTAACATTTGCCCAGTTTTACCCGAAAGGGTCTTGTTTTCTACCCTGAGCCACCCAGGCGCCCCCCTACTCTGTATTTTTCACATGTATTTCCATCTCATTAAAGATGATAGAGCTCTGTGAGATTACCTAAACCTAAGAGAATGCTCATGTAACAGAGGAGTTGATCCTCTTCACATCTCTTTCTGTAAATATTCCCATTTTACAGCTAAGAAAATAAAAATATAGGGAAATAAAATAACTCAAGGTTTGCAGTGAGTAGATAGCAAAACCTAGGATTCCTCGCTAGCCTATCTACTTCCATTCTTCGCTCACTACGGTAAATTATATAGGAGCCAAAACAGGGTTCACTTTCTATAAACTTTTTATTATAGAACAGTTTTAGATTTACAGAGAAATTGCAAAGCTACTAGAGTTTCCAAATAACCCATTCTCAGTTTCTCCTATTATTAACATATTAGCATGGCACACATATTACAATTAATGAGCCAATACTGATGCATTATTATTAACTGAAGTCCATACTTTGTTCAGATTTTGTTAGTTTTTATTTAATGTCCCTTTTCCACTGCAGGATTCCATCCAGGATAGCACATTACATTTAGTTGTCATGTCTGTTAGTCTCCTCTGGGCTGTGACAGTTTCTCTAACTCTCCTTGTTTTTGATGACCTTGACAGCTTTGAGGAGTACTAGTCGAATACATTGTAGAATGTCCCTTAAATGGGATTAGTCTGATGTTTTCCTCATGATTAGACTTGAGTTACAGCTTTTGAGGAGGAGGTAAGCGCCATTTTTCTTCCATTGTATCGAGGGTACATAGTACCAACATCATTTATCACCGTTGATGTTGACCTTGATCACCTGGCCAAGATAGTGTTTGTCAGGTTTCTCCAACATAAAGTTACTTTTTCCCCGCTTTCCACACTGTCCTCTTTGGAAAGAAGTCACTACGGACAGCCTGTACTAAAGGACTGAGAGATAAGCTCCATCTCCTTGAAGGCAGAGTATGTACTTACAGTATTTGGACTTGAGTCCATATTTCCTTGTTCAGAATCCTACAGTGGCTTCATACCACTTTCAGAATGAAATGGAAACTCTCCAATGCTAAAAGGCCCTTGGTGGTCGGGGCCCAGGGTCATCTCCTAGAGTCTGCTACCAATTTCACCAGAGCCTGCTCTGTTCCATCATACTGACCCGAACACACCCAGATGGAGCAGCTGCAGGCCTTGGCCTCTGCCCAGCACACCCATCCCTTAGCCCAGCACCTGGTTTGCTTCCCCACTTGACTGAGTCTCTGAGAGCCTTTTCATTATCACCTCATTCAAAAAGAGTCAGTCTTCTGTCTCAGTTTACTCGGTTTTGTTACCCTATATTTCATCATTGAATTTATCACCTCTGATGGTCTGTACTTAGATCTTTGGTTCCTTAGCTTTCTCTCCCAGCATCATGTAGCTACACAAGGGTGGGGCTGTATCTTACTCACTCATGCATCCTACTTCCTAGAACAGTATCTAGCACATAGTAGGTGCTCAGGAAATATTTGCTAAATAAAGGAATGAACTAGTTAATTTTTTAAAGAAATCATTCTTAGGTCTCTTGTGGTCGAAGTATTCTATGTCTTTATGAACTAATAATTCCCTTTCTGTCTTTTTCTCTTTAGTATCCTCGAGGCATTTTAGGAAGAGAGACCTGGCCTGCCTTTCTTTTTTTTTTTTTTTTTATAAAAGAAGCAGTGTGGAGTTTAAGATAGTAAATAAATAAAATCCTAAGTTTCTCTGTTACTTAATGTACACTTGACTGTGTTCAGAATTTGATTGGGTGAAATAAGCCATCATAAACACTTACCCCTGGGGGCTCTCCCTGTTGTCAGCCCAGTGGAACTGCTGCCTCAGGATAGAAATCTTCTTCCACCCACGCTTCTTTGTACTTGAGTAACAGTACTTCTTGGTGCCAAAGAATCTCACCTGGTTAGGAATTGCTGCTGATAATAACTCTTGATTCCTGTTTTAACATCTTCTTTGAAAGAAGCCTCAGCCTTGCAGTAACTGAAAACTGAAAAAATTCTTTAGAAATATCCAATGAAGGGGCACCTGGGTGGCTAAGTCGGTTAAGCGTCTACCCAGAGGTCATGATCCCGGGGTCCTGGGATCGAACCCTACATCGGGCTCTCTGCTTAGCAGGAAGTCTGCTTCCACCTCTCCCTTTGCCGCTCCCCCTCCACTTGTGCCCTCTCTCTGTCAAATAAATAAATAAAATCTTTTTTAAAAAGAAAAGAAATTTCCAGTAAAATACTGTGAGGTTTTTGTTTGCCATCACGAAGCCAATTCATTTTAGAGCCCATTTCCTCATCCATAATTTTCCCTGATCCCACGCTAATAAGGAGCCATTTGCTTTAACTCCAGTTTTCAGGAATTGGAAATCTGTTATTCACAGCAGATTCAGTCTCAGGCAAGCCATTTTTCTGAGGCTCAGTTCTGGCTCTCACAAGATTCTGGAAAGAATATAGAAAATTTGCTCAATTGGCTGTTGGTCCACTCTAAAAGAAGAAACATCACGTTTTTTTTTCTTTTAAGAAAAAAGTATTTGGTAAAAAAAAAAAAAGCCTCCCACCCACATTTGCTATGCTGTTTTACCCCTGTTTATTTAGGAAATGCCACGTGAAAAGAATTACTTATTGCATCTTTAAGCTCTAGATAGGAAACAAAGTTTCTGCTTCATGGTAGGTCATGTTTGGGGTAGAACCAAGTATGTGCAGAGTGTAAGGCATAGCCATTGCAGAGCCTTCCTTTTGAGCTTCCATTCTGGTTAATGAAAAAAAAGGGAACCATCACCTATGCATCCTTTTTCCTAGTTTGTGTTGATTGGCTTCCATATTCTTAAAGGAGGTAATAAGGGTCAGGAATGTCAGTGGATATGCAAATCAAACCACAAATGATTTCTCCAGAGAAGATATGCAAATGCCCAATAAGCACATGAACGCATGCTCCACAGATTAGTCATAGGGAAAATGCAAGTTGAATTCACAAGGAGATACCACTTCACACCTACTAGGAAGACTACGATCAAAAAGATGTACAATAACAAGTGTTGACAAGGATATGGAAAAAATGGAACCTTCATAAATTGCTGGTGAGCATGTAAAATGGTGCAGCCACTTAGGAAAATAATTTGGCAGTTCCTCAAAAGGCAGTTACTATATGACCCAGCAATTCCACTCCTAGATGTATACCCAAGAGAAATGAAAACCTATCTGTACACAAAAATGTGTCCACAGATGTTCATAGCAAGATATTCAAAATAGCCAAAAAATGGGAAGAACCCAAATGCCCATCAACTGTTGAATGCATAAACAAAATGTGGTATATCCATGTAACAATATTGTTCAGCCCCCCAAACGTGAAGTATTGATACATGCTACAACACAGATGAACCCTGAAAACATTTTGCTGAAAGAAGCCAGACATAAAAGATCACATATTGTATGATTCCATTTATATGAAATATCCAGAATAGGCAAATCCATAGATGGAAAAAATAGGTTAGCAGTTGTCAGGATGTGGGTGTAGGGGGAATGGGGGATGACTGCTAATGGGTATGGGGTTTCTTTTGGGGCTGATGAAAATGTTCTGGAGTTAGTGGCAGTAAGTAATCTTGTAAATATACTAAAAACCACTGAATTGGACACTTCTTGATTCCAGCTCAGGTCATGATCTCAGAATCCCAGGATCAAGCCCCATGTTGGGCTCTGCGCTCAGCACAGAGTCTGCTTCGGATTCTCTCCCCCCTTCTCCTTCTGCCCCTCCCCCTCCTCGTGCTCTCTCTCTCTCAATAAATAAAATCTTTAAAAAACCCCACAAATTAAATATTTCACATGCACTAGAATCTGGTTAAAACAAAAGACAATGACAGGTGTTGAAGATGTGGAGAAATTGGAACTGTCCCTCGTTGGTGGGATTCTAAAATGGTACAGCTACTTTGGAAAACAGTTGGATCGTTCCTCAAAATATTAAATACAGAGTTAACATATAACTCGGGAATTCCACTCCTAGGTATTTACCCAAGAGAAATAAAAACATATCAACACAAAGACTTGTAAATGAAAATTTACAGCAACTTCATTTGTAACAGTCAAAAACTGGAAACAGTGGAATACTATTCAGCAATAAAAGGGAAGGAGCTCCTGATTCATGGAGCAACAGTGACAAACCTCAGAAACATCATGCTTAGTGAAAGCCAGAAACCAAAGACTGCATATTGTATGAGTCCATATATATGAAGCTTCTAGAAAAGGCAAAACTATAGACAGAAAGTTATCAGTGGTTGCCTGTGGTTGAGGATGAGAGTGGCAATTGACGACAAACCAGCATGAGGGAATTTTTTGTGGTGACGGAAAATGTTCTAAAACTGGACTGTGGTGATTGGTTGCACAACAGTTTAAATTTACTAAGACTCCGTGAATGGTATACTTAAAATAGGTGGATTTTATGGTATGTAAATTATACCTAAAAAATCTGTTTTAAAAAATCAGTAGTCTAGGACTCAGGATATAGTTTAATCACACATACACCAAAAAAACAAAAAGAAAAACAACCCTTTCTTTCTCCTCACTGTAGACCCGTCCTCCCACTGACTTGAGCTTTAACTTTGATGCCAACAAACAACAAAGACAGCTTATTGCAGAACTAGAAAACAAAAACAGGTAAGTGCAGAGGTCGAGCCAGCTTCTAAAGTCCAAGATCATCATGTGAGTATCTGTTTCTCATTTTCCTTGTAGATTAGCTGGCTTTGTAAAGGAAGACCCCACCTCAGTGAATATAGGCCAGACCAACTCATGGGAATGCCCCTACTCTAATCTGTAGATCTCTGCACGCTATACATTCTGGTAGCTCACAGCCCTGCTTACGTGCGCTCAGGTGGATTCTTTACCCCAGTGCCTTCTCCCACCCACCAGGTCCCCTCCCATGATTCTGTTTTCCACTCCAAACCCCTTTTGCTCTGTCTAGTCATCTTATCCTGGCCCACTGTGTTGTGTGTGACTGGTCTCTCACCACAAAGCCATTTAAAGACACAGAGAGGGACGCCTGGGTGGCTCAGTCAGTTAAGCATCTGCCTTCGGCTCAGGTCATGATCCCAGGGTCCCAGGATCGAGTCCCACATCAGGCTCCCTGCTGAGCAAGGAGGGACTTGCTCCCTCTGCCTGCAGCTCCTGCAGCTTGTGCTCTCTCTCTCAAATAGGTAGATAAAATCTTAAAAATAAATAAATAAATAGATAAATAGATTAATTAATTAATTAAAGGCATGGAGACCAGACAGCACACCAGTATGCCCTGAGAGGCAGAAACCGGGACAAGGAGTTGGATGTAACGTAACAGGCACAGGAAGAAGAAATGGCAGCTCTCATCATTCAGCGGCTCAACAGGAAGAAGAGAGACAAAGACGGGAGAAGTTAGCATAGGACCCACATTAGGAGGTTGCAGGGAGTTCTTTTTTCCTTTCCCTAGAAAGGAACAGAGCTTTCTAGTGGTGGTTTTCCTTTTGTGGGGATTTTTCAAGTTCTTGAGAAGAGTATTTATATCACTTTTTCTACCACAAAGGATTGTTTCATTGAGGAAATATGAAGTGCAGCAGTGTTAAGAAGGTGGCTCTTTGACATCTTGGTCATTCGGAAACAGAACAAGATTGGGAGAGGCCACTGTACTACAGTTAGAAGTCCTGACAGGAAAGAGCGAGCTGTGCAGCCATCTTTCTTTCATCTGTCCTCTCTAGGGAGATCCTGCAAGAGATCCAGCGTCTCCGTCTGGAGCATGAGCAGGCTTCCCAGCCCACCCCCGAGAAGGCGCAGCAGAACCCCACATTGCTGGCAGAGCTGCGGCTGCTGAGGTAAGTATCTGCTACAGTAGGAATTTATGTGTCAGGGAACCAAACTAGTGGGATAGAATCTGTTTATCACTATAACTAGTCCTGTCAGAACAAATGCATTCCACTCATTCTGTTACCGCTGCAGGTGTTTGGCTTCCATTATTAATGACTCTGAGAACTTCAGCCATCATTACAGAACCAGGTCAACACCATTCTCCAGCTCCATGACAAGCAGAGCAGTGTTTATACTTTTGTGATTGCTTTAAGACCATTGTGCTACAATCTTCTTATCTTGTTAATTAGTCTGACTTTAAAGACTCTTGGCAGGAATAATGCTCTTCTGTCCTATGAGTATATTCTCCTGGTGCCTCATGGAGCAGGACTCTGTTGAAGGAGAAGGGTGCTTGCTACCTATACACATCCTTGGACACAAAACCAAGTGGGAGTCCCTTGCACCATGGCTGTGGAATCTTCCCCCTTCAGCATAAATACAAACTGTCTCAGGACTGGGAGACTAAAGGGCACAGGATCTGACTAGGGGTAGAAAGCAGCTTCAGCCCCCATTCGGATGCTATTTTGGAGGAAATGGAGAAATCTTCTAGAAGACCGTAACATGAAAGTGAACCAGTCAAAGCTATTAGGGTCTTATATCCTATCAGTCTTAGGAAGATGTGTGTGTACTCTTTGGCAAGTGAAGACATTTTGGACACTAAGTGACTTGATTTTCACCAGACCTCTAAATTTCCAAAGAGTGGGTTCTTTCTGTGTAGGTTGTAACATTTGACATTCCACAGTTGATTTTTAATGTGCTATCACCTGGGATTCTGCATAGCTATCCTTTTTTTTTTAATTAACATATAATGTATTATTAGTTTCAGAGGCAGAGTTCAGTGACTCATCAGTCTTATATAATACCCAGTGCTCATTACATCATGTGCCCTCTTTAATGTCCATCACCCAGTTACCCCATCCTCCCCCACCCCCCCCAGCAACCCCCAGTTTGTTTCCTATGATTAAGAGTCTCTTATGGTTTGTCTCCCTCTCTGGTTTCATCTTGTTTTATTTTTCCCTCTCTTCCCCTATGATCCTCTGTTTTGTTTTTAAAGTCCACATGTGAATTAGATCATATAATTGTCTTTCTCTGATTGACTTATTCCACTTATAGCTGTCCTTTTTTAATTTTTCTTTGGCTTAGTCATTTAGCTTCTCAACCATGATATCTTTTCCTAGAGAATGGAGATTATTGTTTTTTTGTAACTATCTTTCTGTCTAGATTTATATCATCAATAAATAAGTCACAAAGAATTTAAACTGTGCAGATGAAAATCATTAGAGATATAGAGATTTCCATTCTTCTGAAAATTCATTTTAGTTTCTGTATTTAATTGGGCTTGAGGATTTGGTTGCTATGCGGTCCTCTGTTGCATGCCTGAGATGTTGGCAGGTTGGTGCTACACTAGGAAGTCTGGGAGAACATGTCCTGCTGACTCAAACCCAGTGTAATTCCAAACTCTCAGCATAAGATACAACTGTTCTGTTTCCCCACCACGGCTCAGGCACAAGTAACTATTTTGTATTTAGCAAAGCAAAAATGGTTCTACTCCAGTTTTAACTGCTGCTGGAAGTGGGATTGCTAGAAGTCCTTTATTAAGCTGGAGGGGTCTGAAAAATATCATAGATTTAGTAGGCAAAGGGCTAAGTCCAGTGGTGTCATGTCATGTAGGCAGCAAGAAGCAAGAATTTAACCTAAATCCAAGGAGGGTCTAACTCTTGAGAAATCAGGAAGTATTTAAATAATCTAAAAAGCAGCTTCCATTATCATTGAAGAAAGAGGGACTATTTCATAATTGTGCAGGATCGATTGGTTATGCATACAGACAAAACATACTGGCTCTTTGCTTCATACTGTATAGAGAAAATACCACCAGATGGATTAAACATGAAGACAAAACTTTAAAACTTTAGAAGAAAATGTAGGGAATGTCTTTTTTTTTTTTTTTTTACGATTTTATTTATTTATTAGAGAAAGAGAGCATGATCAGGGTGCGGCGGAGGAGCAGAGAGAAAGGAAAAAGCAGACTCCCCGCTGAGCAGGGAGCCCAACATGGGGCTCAATCCCAGAACCCTGGGATCATGACCTGAGCCGAAGGCAGGCACTTAACTAACCATGAAAGAAGTTGGTAAATTCATCTATATTCATATTAAGAACTGTTGTTTATCAAAAGACATATAAAGGGCAAGATTCATTCCTAGGTATCTGACATCCTTCTGGTTTTGACCAATATATAGGAATCCAGGAACTGCCAATACCCAGCTAGTATAATAAAAGAAGATGGAGAATTTCATTCTTAGGATTAGTTGTCATGAATTCTGACAACCAGGGTTGTCTTTTCCCCTTGATTATTATTTTTAATGGCATATTCATTGGCTTCCAATATATATATGACAAATATATATGACATATATGACAACAGCATATATATGACAAATGTGTAAGATACGAAGTATAATGATAAAATGAATACGCATGAACCCACATCTACTCATATATTGTTAAAACCGTGTTGTGTAAAAGTGCCCCCGATCCCATTTCCTTGCTTCCACCTTCTCCACAGAGCTCACCTCTATCCAGAATTTGGTTTATCATTCCTTTGCCTTTTAAATAGTATTATCAAATATATGTGTATTCCCACATATTGAAGTGTTTAGTTTTGTGTTTTGTTTTTTGAGCTTTCGAGAAATGTTATTATATGCATATAGTGGAACCTTCCCCTCCCCCCCGCCCCCCAGTATTATGCTTCAGGATCCTTCCATGTAGCTGGAGTTCATTCATTTTCACCACATATTATAATGACTTGGTTATGCACAGCACAGGGAAAGAGTACTGCATCCAGTCTTAAAAGTTCAGGGAAGAAAGGCTTTCTAGAAAACTGAATGAGTCAGTTTCTCTTTATTGCATTTATAGCTGCACTGTACTGGAAATTTAGAGAGTATGAAGACTAGAAAACAATGGTTCCATCTTAAAAATTTATAATATAGTTTTGAAAATAAATGTAAAATAATTTTCTAGTCAGTTAACTAATATAGTGTTACTAAATAGTATGGGCACTATGTCATAAGAAATCTAAGTAGGTGGGGTGCCTGGGTAGCTCAGTCAGTTAAGCATCAGCCTTTGGCTCAGGTCATGATCTCAGAGTCCTGAGATCGAGCCCTGCATTGGGCTCCCTGCTCAGCAGGAAGTCAGCTTCTTCCTCTCTCTCTGCCCCACACCCTGCTCATTATCTCTCTTTCTCTGTCTCAAATAAAAAATAAAATCTTAAAAAAAAAAAGAATATAAGAAGGAAAATATATACACACACATATATACATATATGTGTATATGTATGTGTATATATATATGTCTATGTGTATATATATATATATATATACACATATATAGGCTGGAAGCAGTTAGACCCATGGAGGTGGTGGAAATTGAGCTAGACCATGAAAGGTAGGGATGATGTGGATAAAACCTGGGAGAAAACATTTCAGATTAGAAGTGGAGTTGGGGTTCAGCATGATTCCCCAAATAACTATATGATACATTTCAGAGGAGGGAAGGAGTCTTGGAGCTAAGAATTTGTTTCAGGCATCCATTACATTAATCTTTAAAGTGCCAGTGATATGAGATAAAATTAGTTGAATAATTGAGACCGGATTCTAGGGAGCCTTAAGTGATAGGTGATTGGAAGTCCTTGGAGGATTTCAAACAATGATTGTGTAACTTCACCAGATGTTAACTGAGTACATACTGGAGGTGTGATATTCTCTTAACCATTCAGTACATGCAAAGACTCATCCCTCACCTCAAGGATTTTGCATCATGGTAGGAATGACAGCAATGCAAGATAAAATAAATTAAATACCACAGAGAAGCACCAATTGCTATGGTGATTAATTGAGCAGGACTTGACACCTGCTGAAGTAATCAGGAGAAGCTTCCTGGGAAGAGTGACATTTGGGTTGGACACTAAGGAGTGAATGACATTTGGAAGAAGTGGGGGAATGGCTGTGAGTCGTGAAATGATAGGATCTGTTTAGGGAAAAAGGAACCATCAACTAGACATCCAGACATGGAAGGGAATAGAAGGTGAGGCACTAGGGATAGGAATGTTGGTGGGGTCTGGAGCAGCATTCTCTGATAGAAATATAATGTGAGCCACATATGTAATCAAAACTTTTCTAACAACCACAATGAAAAACTAAAAGGAAATAGGTGCCATTAATTTTAACACTATCTTTTACTTAACCTGATTTACCCAAAATATTACCATTTCAACATATAATCAACATTAAAAAATATTGAAATATTTTACTTTCTTTTTTTTTTTTCACAGTAAGGTTTTGAAATCCAGTGCATCTCAATTCAGAATACCCATGTTTCAAGTGTTCAGTAGTCACGTGTGGCTAGTGGCTACTAGAGTGGACAGCTGAGGCATGGATCATGCAAGGCAAGAGTTAGTGATGCTAGAAATTCTACTAAGATTATTACATAAGATGATGAACAGTCTTTGAGCAGCATTGTAAAGTTCATAGAACACTTTCATACCTAGTATCTTATTTGATCCTCAAAACATTGCCATTGCTGTTTGTAGTTAGTCCCATTTTAGCAAAGAGAAAATTGAGGCTCTTACAGGGTAAGTGACTTGGTCAAGTTTGTAGTATTTAGTAAATGGTGGCCCTAAGTCTCCTGATTTCTATTCCACCTCAGCATACCAGGTGAAATCAGGATTAATCAGGATGGGAGACCATTGCACATGTGAGGTAAGGTGTGCCTGGATAAAGTGAGAGACGTGAGGAGAGAAAGACACGTAAAGTTCTAGGAAAGAATCATGTGAATTGGGTGGTGGAGAATAGGATATAAGCAGAAAAGTATTAAAGAGGACTGAAGTTTTCAGCCATGACAACTGGAAGAAATCAGGAAAGAGAACTATTTGTGGACCACAGTCTTAAGTTTGGTTTTGGACATATTGAGCTAGAATTGACATGAAATCTGTCCTCAGGAAAAAGTGAATTCTCTTAGACACAGAGTCACCCTAATGTCAGTCACGCTCTTGAGGCTGGTGTCTGGTGCTGGAAGTAATAGCAATGGAACCCTATTCTCCCTGAGCAGTTTTCATACATTTTCTCACTACCAATTTAAATGTGGACTAGTTTTATGTATCTTTCTAAATGAGGTTTTTGACTTCCTGAGGAATTTTTTAAATTGCTTTATTAATAATATTAATAATACTTTTTCTCTATATTGCTATATCTATACTGTGTGTTTTCCAAAGCATTTTTACGTACTATTCTCACAACAGTAAAGGAAAGAGAGCAAAACAAATATTATGCCCACTTTCTAACATAACTAGTAGAGGTTAAATGACTTGCTCAGCTTATCAGACCCTGGTAAGTAGCAGAATTCGGGTCTAAAATCAGTTTCACCTATACTTGGACCCTTCTTTGAAGATCCCTTTATCTTCAGAGTTTTCTTGCTGATGGGCTTTTCCCCTCGGACAGGCAGAGGAAAGACGAGCTGGAGCAGAGAATGTCGGCACTGCAGGAGAGCAGGCGCGAGCTGATGGTTCAGCTGGAGGGGCTGATGAAGCTGCTGAAGGTGAGAGAGCCCTGGCGCCTCCCCGTTCCCTGCCGCCCCGCTCCCCGCCGCCCTGCTCCCCGCCGCCCTGCTCCCCGCCGCCCCGCCTCCCCACCCTCCGCTCAGCTGTCCTCCTTCGCCTTCACCACCGGCTCCACTGCCTCCCCTGTGGTGTCAGGACAGGACTCAACTAAAGGATGAAATGCCGCTACCCATAAAGTTAGCTGTGACTCCAGAAATTCCTCGAAACTAGCGTGAAGCCGGATGATAAAAAATGAGTAACTGGAACTAGAGTTCTGTCCTTGAGTAGTTGCTTATATGAATAAATATAAAGGTTTGTAAAGAGGATATTAACTATATGTAAATGAAAATTTCTCAACGATTTAAAATTTCTCTTAAGACAAGTTTTCAAATAGTCCACCTAAATACGTAACAATTATTAACAAAATAAGTAAGTATTACAGCAGCAAACCAAGCTAATCAGACTAACTCTAATGAATAACTTTATTAGGAGGAAAAAAATAGCATATTAGCTCTACGTTTGTTATATTGGAGCTTAAATAACTTTGGGATGATTCAGGTCTCACTATCTTTTTTTTTTTTTTTTTTTGAATTTATTACAAGCCCTGTGCCCCAGAGGGGAGAGAGGCATTCTTGGCATTTAAATGTCCTCACCTAGACAGTTTTACTGGCATTCAACAGGAATATTTACCCAGATACGGAGCAGCAATACCAGAGCACATTTGTTCCTGCTGCTAATTCCTTGGTTCTCTGTGTCTGTGCTGTAAACCACTGTATTTTGTGGTGGGACAGAGTTAGCAGCCAGAGTGGAGATCACACAGTGTGGATTACCTCAAAAGCCAGGCTGAGGGGAGTGGATTGAATCCTGTGGTAGGGGAGTCATTGAAGTTTTTGGAAATAATGGTTTGGGAAAATGTGTAGAGCAGATTAGAGAGGGGAGGAACTAAAGGAAAAATGGAGACAAATATAATCATCTAGCCTGAAGTGAGTGACAAGGGTCTAGACTAGGAGTGGTGGCTCAAGAAAACATCCACTTGAAGACTTTTTTCTACTTCTCTATTCCAGACGGGTCCCTTCATAATGAAGCTAGAGGTATTAGCAGCTTGGGTAAATGCAGTGTTTGTGTTTTAAACTGACTTGGGACTTGCTCAAGACAATCACTTCTTTTAGTCTTGAGCTTTGGTCCCAGGTATTTGGGTGGTTTTGCAGGGACATGTTTCTACATTAACCCTTTTAACAGAATTTCTCCTGAGAAATATTTCATGTCTAAGTGGGTCTTGTTTAAAGAAAATCTTTTTTATTTTATTTTTTTTTAAGATTTTATTTATTTATTTGACAGAGAGAGCGAGAGAGCACAAGCAGGGAGAACAGCAGAGGGAGAGGGAGAAGCAGGCTCCCCGCCAAGCAGGGAGCCCGATGCAGGGTTCGATCCCAGGACCCTGAGATCATGACCTGAGCCGAAGGCAGACGCTCAGCCATCTGAGTGTTTAAAGAAAATCTTATGCATAAAACCTGGCCCACATCCCTCTAACAGTTGTTAAGAATCCAGCTACTCCAGCCCCATCACCCACTCAAGACAGCAGAGATGTACTTAAATGCATTTGGCTGTTGTAACATCTGGAGCCGTGTGGGGCTTTGAAAGCCCTGCCATGTGGGGTAGTCCACCCCTTGCCTGGGTCAAACTCCTTTTTTAGTAAGATGCTCTCAGACATTCCCCAAACATAGGTGGGAAGGTACCCTAGGGTAATTTTTGTAAAAGGCAAAAGGTTTATGCAAACTGAAGGGAGGTCAGAATATATTTCCCCAAAGTACCGCGGTGTGCTTTCTCGTCAGCTGGGTGACCCTCATGTTTCTTAAGAGTTCCTGGTTCAGAGCCCCATGTATATTACTTAACTTTGTAGTTCACTTCCAATGCTGGTGTTCAGGGGCTAAGCAGAATGGGCTGATGCCTAGAACTCTGATACCAACCCCTGAGTTTCTTTGTATTTCTAGCTTTTGTCTTACAGTAAAGTAAGCAGGATCCTGGTGCCCCAGTTTGTAGAATCCCCTGCCAGCTTCTTAAATGTCTTAGAGTTTACTCATCTGATAGGCTGAGGCCATTCATACTGGGAGGAGGAATTTGCAACACAGACCAGGAATGTTGTCTTTTTATCCATTGATTAGAACTTACAGTTGAAAATCTCATGCCTCTAGTGTCCAGCTACCTATAAGGATGATAGCACAATCCTAATTTGTATATTACACGCACTCTGTAGGAGTCATTGACTTCCATGAAAATTTCAAAGATGTTTTCCTACTGTTAAAAAAAATATTCACCAACCCATAATAAAAGTACACTTTAGAATCCTAGTTTTAATTTCAAAGGACTGTCCTGCCTTCATTGATGTTCAGTCTGCTAGCATTTAATGCTCTCATAAAACAGCTGTAAGCACTTAGTCAAATGGACAATCAAACCACATGGTCTGGGATACTCATAAATTAAAATATGCCACACAGTAAATTTCCATTTCACAGCAAGTTCTTTCTACTGCTTCAGTGAAATATAATGTACATTGTCTGTTTATCTGAAAAATGATAATTTAAGGAAGCATACATATGAAGTGTCACCATTGCTTATTAATTCATTCAACAATAATCTTAAGTCCTTTTTTGGGAATAAGGCAGGGTGAAAAGTAATCATATATTTATTTAACAAGAAAATATTGGTTCCTGAATATCACATTTAGCTATTTGGCGATGAGTAAGATTTAGTCCCCGTCACCAAGGAGTATCAGGGACCTTCTTAATAGTTTTTTTGTTTGTTTGTTTTCTTAATAACATAATGTAGACTGACACCCAGGTACCCGTGGTCAGAGTGTATCTTTTCCTTACATTTTTCCCCTGATTAATGTGTATAGGTAACCTCTGTCTCAAACTTATTTCATCTGGAAGTGGTTGTATGTTGGTGTTTCACTTTCTAAATCATGTCCCGGGTATTTTTCTGCCTCATTTTCCATTTTTCTAATATTGCTTTTGAAACATAGTCACCAGGTGAATTCTGTAGTTTTGGATTTCACCCTTATTTGCGAACGAGGTTTAGAATATAAATTTTTTTTTTTTTAAAGATTTTATGTATTTATTTGAGACAGAGAGAATGAGAGACAGAGAGCATGAGAGGGAGGAGGGTCAGAGGGAGAAGCAGA